AGATGAAGCTGAGGATAAGTGAATTAAAAGACAGGATAGAAAAAAATCACTCAATCAGAGATCTGATAAGAAAAAACAATTTAAAAACAGGAGGACAGTCTAAGGGAGCTGCAGGACAACATGAACATAACAATATTCACATCATAGGAATGCCAGACGGGGAAGAGAATAAGCAAGGGATAGAGAATTTGTTTAAAGAAATAATGGCAGAATACTTCCCTAATCTGGTCAAGGAAAAAAGCCACACAAGTTCAGGAGGCACAGAGAGTCTCAAGCAAGAAGAACCCAAAGAGGCCCATGCCCAGGCACATCATAATTAAAATGCCAAAAATTCAAGACAAAGAGAGAATATTAAAGACAGCAAAAGAAAAGTAATCTGTTACCTACAAAGGAGCTCCCATAAGGCTGTCAGCTGACTTATCAGAAACTCTACAGGAGAGAAGGGAATGGCAGGAAGTATTCAAGGCAATGCAAAACAAGGATCTGAAACCAAGACTACTCTAAGCAGCAAGTCTATCATCCAAAATAGGTGGTGAAATAAAGAGCTTCCCAGACAAAAAAGGCTAAAGGAGATTATCACCACCAAACAAGCATTGCAAGAAATGTTAAAAAGACTGCTGTAATAAGAAGTAGAAATAGAGAAAGAGAGAAACATAGGCATAAAGAAAGAAAATGGCAATAGATAAGTACCTTTGGATAATTACCTTAATTAAATGGATTAAATGCTCCAATCAAAAGACATAGGGTAGCTGAATGGATAAGAAAACAAGACCCAAATATATGCTGTCTATGAAAGACCCACCTCAGAATAAAAGACTCACACATGCTGGGGGGTGGGGGGACTTCTGGAGGAACTTAAGGGAGAGATCGGCAGCAATACAGTCATAGTGAGGGACTATAACACCCCACTGACTTTACTGGATAGATCCTTCAGACAAAAAATCAACAAAGAAACAGTGAATCTAAATGACACACTAGATCAGATGGATTTCATTGATATTTACAAAACATTTCACCCCAAAGCTGCAGAATTTACATTCCTCTCAAGGGCACATGGGTCATGCTCAAAGATAGACCACAAATGCTAGGACACAAAACCAGTCTCTGAAAGTTTAAGAAGACTGAAATCATATCAAGCATCTTATCAGATCACATGGGCATGAAATTAGAAATCAACTACAGTAAAAACACTCAAAAACATTCAAACACATGGAGGCTAAATAACATGTTATTAAACAATGAATGGGTTACCAATAAGATCAAGAAAGAAATCAAAAATTTCCTGGAAACAAATGAAAATGCACACACAACAACCCAAAATCTATGGGACACAACAAAAGCAGTCCTAAGAGGGAAGTTCATAGCACTGCAGGCCTACCTCAAAAAGCAAAAAAAAATTTTCATAAACTATTTAACCCTAAAACTTAAAGAATTTGAAAGCTCCCCTGTGAAGCTGTCTGGACCAGGGTTTTTATTTGCTGAGAGATTTTTTATTGCTCTTTTATTTCATCAGTTGTTATTAGCCTATTCAGGTTTTCTGATTCTTCTTGATTCAGTTTTACATGATCTCACTCATATGTGGAATCTAATAAACAAAATAGAGTGAGGAACAAAATAGATACAGAGACATAGAAGCATGGAACAGACTGATGAGTCTCAGTAGGAAGGCAGGGGTAGGGGAGTGGGTGGCAAGAGATTAATCAAAGAACTTATATGCATATATACATAACCCATGGACACAGACAATAGTGTTGGGAAGGCCTGGGGTGGGGCGGATGCGGGATTGAGGGGATCAATGGGGGGGAAAGGGGTATCTCTAATACTTTCATCAATAAAAATAAATTTTTAAAAAAGAATAATGAGGACAGCTCATATTGCCTCCTCAAACCAATTCTCACCTTCTCCCTCCACTAGTAAAATCAAGCACAGACACTAAATCAAATTTTCTTCCTCTTTCCACCACCTCAACAGCAGTTCTATTCCAACATGGTGGAATAACTCTGATCCTGTTTATGATTTGGACACCCCTAAATCCCAGTCCACATATCTAATCTTGACTTTTTTCCTGAAAACACATGCCAAGTTTCCACCTGCCTGGTGGCCATCACCATACACACCTTCAAAGTCCTTAGGACCCAAACAAATACACCTCACCTCCAAATCCAATGCTGCCCCTGGCTCCATGCTCCTGGGCTTTATTAATGCATCAACCACATAGTGAGCTCTGAGGCAATCATTTTAGACTCCAATGGAGCAAATTACCTCTCTAAGCCTGTTTCTTTCTTTAAAAGCTGACAATGACCTACTTAAATGGTTGTTGGGGGATTAAATAAGATAAATGATAAACTTTATCATGAGATATTCCCCTTCCTCACTCTGAGCATTTAATCACTGCTCAAGGTCTATCAACTCTGCCAACCAAATGTCTCTAAAATCTTTCCCCTATTTTCTATTCTTACCATCAATGTCCTCGTTTGGACACGGCATTTCTAACCTAAACAATTGCAAAACTCTTGGACTAGTCACCTTGTTCCCTTTTCTCTCTAACCTGCTTGCCTGTAGGCAAGACAGGAGTATAATGGATCTTATTCCTTTTGTCCATTTTCCAAAACAACCAGCACAGTGCCTGACAGAGAACAGGTTAGCAATGCCGACTGGCTCCCAATTCATCATCCAGACACAATGAAGCCATGCTCTAAGAAAAACCTCAATCCCTTGAGCATTAAAGGAAGTTCTTCGCACACTGAGGAACCACAATCTTATTCTCAGAGCCCCATGGTTCCCAAATTCCTGTTTTCTCCCCTAGGGCCCAATGTAGTATATCAATATGGAGGCACTAGGCTCAGATTAGTAGTAAGCAAAATGTTTATTAGACATAGGCAGAAAATCATAAAATGTATTAAATAATAAGTAGACAGTAAGTAGAGCATGTATATGTTAAACATAGAAAGAAAGGAGTGGAAGAACCAAGAGATAACTAATTTTCAGTGTATATTAAATATACACGAGGCACATGAGTACTCAATATCCATGAGGCCTTAATTCGGCCACTCATCCATTGGTGAACCCATTCTGGTCCCATGTGTCCTTTGCCCAAGAAACACAAACAAAGCCTCTACTATTCATCAGGCTTATTGGTGAGCTGCACCTGTGACCAGGCCCACTGTCCCTGCATCTCTCTGATAGAGTGTGCATCATTACTCCAAGGTCCCTTCTGTCTGTGGTTCTTCTTGAACTTCCACTCTGATGTCCAAACCACACTATTAGCAGGAAGGGCAGATGCAGCAGAGAGAGACAGACAGGACCATTGCTTACCCCAAAATTCAAGCAGAGTGGTCATTCCACTCACTTTTACCCTGTTCTAAGTGTGTGAACCTACATCATCTCTTTCCCCTTGTTTCTCACTATGTATTTGAAATCATTTTAATGCATCATGTGATTTATGCATTTTAATTTGGCCCATGAGGCTTCTGTTCTGTGGTCTCTGGAAAAGCCTGCATGCGTAGGTCTTGAAGGCCACCATTGAACCAAGGTAATATCCCACACTACACTTTGGCTGCTGCATAGAGAACAGAATTTAGGAGAAGCAGAAATGGAATCAGAGAGACTTATTAGGCAGCTATTCCTTTACTCTAGTCAAGAAATAAGGGTAGCCAGGGTCAGAATGGTAGCAAAGGGGATAGAGAAACATAAACAGGTTCAAGATATGTTTTGCTAGGAGAATGAAGAACAAAGATGGTGGGAGTAAACAATAGGGAAAGTAAATGAAGTAGAGACTACAGTCAGAGAAGGCAATTTCAGAGCCTAAGATATTGGAAATGGCAATACTCCAAAAGACAAAGAGATAATAATGTACCAAGAATCATGGCTTGTCAGAGATCAAAGGGGCCTTGGAAGGTCATCTATAGCAAACACCAAACAAACATGTGACTCCCTTCCTACACCTCTACTAAACTGTCAGTGAAAAATAACCCCTGACTTGCTTTCAGGGCCATCCACCTATATTTCTATACCAATGACCAAACAAATATGTGACTCCCTTCTCCTCCACCCAACCTTGACCATACTCATCCAGAGCCAACCACCACAACTTCTGGTGGCTCTCTTCCAGAAAATTATTCCTCTTATTGACCTGAATTCTGATCTATTAGGTCCTGTCGTTGAGGATACAGAAAATTAGGTCACCCCTCTTCCACATGATATCCCTTTAGATTTCTGAAGACATTTATCAGGCACACCTGAGTCTTTCCTTTACAGATTTCCCATTTCAATATTTTGCCTTACACATGACAATTTTCAGTCCTTTCACCATCACGGTTGCTATCCCCTGAAGGCATAAAGAACTCTGCATCATCCCACATGATGGACTAATAGCACAAACAGAAGAAATCAGTTACCTCCCTTAATCTCTGCCACGTTTCTAATAATGCCACCCAGGATTAGCTTCTCTGATGGCCACATCACAGAGTTAACTCTTGTTTGGCTGAAGTGAAGTATGGATAAAGATGACTGGCACACATGGAGTGAAGGAATAATAACCCTCTGTTGAAGTACTATCAAAGTCTGTAGTTAGTAGGTATGAGGATGAGGACAGGGTGGGTGAAGCAAATGGCAGTAAATTCAAGGAAAGATTGAATACCAGTCTGGAAGTGGCAGTAGAGAACAGTCTTCTCTCTTCCCTTGAGAGTGTTGTGAAGGAAGTAATGTGATCAAAGCAAAAAGACCAAAACATTTTAAGAAAAAAGTCAAAGACATGGGAGAGTTTGTTCACACTAGAGCAGCACCTGAAAGAATACAAGTATGTCACAGAAGAGTGAGAGAAATGGCCAATGTTGAGGTAGAGGGGTACAAATCTGGTAAGTCACTATCAATAACTACAAGCTAACAGTATGTGTATATTCACCATTGCCAACAAGTTAGACACCTAAGCATGGGGTCTTTTTAAAAAGCTAGAGAAAGACAGTATATTAAGGCAGAAGTTAGAAATGAAAGTGCTATACCTTGAGGCAGTCCACTATTTTTCACCTCTGGTTCATTTACTTGAATTGTGTCATCTTCAAGGTAGAAGAAGATTTTATAGCGTCTTATTCTATAGTTTTCTTGCCTTTTATCATGTATTTCATCCTCTTCATAGGCATCAAAAGATAATACCTGTTGGAATCACAATTAGAAACTAAGAAATGAAAAATTTAGCAAACTTAAAATCACTAAAGCTACTTACTATCTGTATACTTTTTGATACTGTAAAGAAAAAAAGTTGAGGTGATTTTGCAAAAAGACATTCTACACATCAGCTATGAGAATGAATATACAATCCAGGTTTCAGTATATAAAGATTATTTTATATTTTCACCACCATCTGGTTAGAATGAAAAAATGATATTCAAGCAATAAATCATCATTCAGCTCTACCATAAATTCTACTAGCATCTGTGTTTGGAATTTCACAGTGGGATTCTATATGTATGTGTTATAGACAAAATAATATTCTTTCTCACAAGATGAATAAAAGTTTTGTCATTTTCCCATTAAAAATAACACAAATTTACCTTAGTTCTAAGATAAAATTATCTTGACTTCTGGTCCTGTTGATTGCTTGCCTTGAGAGAAATTCAAACAGGCAGATCTGAAATTCTTCCAGTGTACCAGAGACCCCACCTTACACTTCTTCAGGAACCTCAAAGAGCACAGCTCTATGCCAGATCCAGTCTCATCTCACACTGCGTGTGTGTTTGGGTGGATGGATGGGGCACTCAGGTAGGAGAGGTAGATTTTAAAGTAGTTAGTTAAAATCAGGGATAGTCAAAAATACCCTTGAAAATTCCTTAACCACTGGAAAACTGTATCTAATTCAGTAATACAACACAGCTCAGTTTTCTTTCATTATGAAGCAAAGGACTGTCTCTTTGTTGAAGATGAGTTAAAACAGCTTCCTTAGGCTTAGGTGCCATGTTGTATGAAAAAAAATATCTTTAACCATTGGAATAACTATCAACATGGTGAAATGCTCACATACTGAGAAAGACATGGTAATTGAGGACAACTGAGGGAACAGTAGATTTAGGCTACCATTTCAAGCTTTACCTGGGGCACAGGCTCCTTGAAAGCTCCATTTTAATATTCCCTTTGCTCCCATTTTTTATAAATTTTTATAATTAGAGCTACAAAATTTAATTGTGCATATGATGTTACACTAGGATAATTCAACATAGACAATATGATAGATATGAGTGAGTCTATTTGGGTGGTCAGTTATCCTAATTAGGAATATATACTCTGGGAGTGTTTAGCAAATTTCTATCAGAAGCCCAGACTTCAGAAGGGGCTGACAAAATATGTCAGTAGTTTATCTCTGATCAACACAGGAAGCTTTGTTAATTACCATAAAGGATTATATAAGTAAGTTTTAGTTAGTGAAATAATTGCATTCGAAATGAAAGAATCAGTTACAAATATTGATCAAAGGCAATATTTGTAAAGGCACTGTCTTTACCGGATCAGGTTCTAAAAATCTAGTAAGCCCAGAGATCTATACCCTTCAAAATGGCACCTTTGGCTTCATTCCAAAATGATCCCCTGTACAGCTGCTTTCCTGGGGAATTCATCTGGCCTGATTCCATTTAGAAGTTAGCTAAACTCATGACTAGAATGTTATATTTATGTTGAGTGAACATTTCTTGTAAGATGTTATTGGATAGATACAGGATTTCATTCTTGAGTAATTAAAATGTCTTGGAACTAGAAAGAGGTGATGGTGTACAACACTGTAGATATACTAGATGCCAATGAATTGTACAATTTAAAATGACTAATGATTCATTTATGTTATATAAATTTTACATCAATAAAAAAGAAGATATTGAATACCAAACTGTGTTGGACACATTAAAATGGTGAATTTTATGTTATATGAATTATATCTCAGTAAGAAAAAGTAGGGGGTAAAAAGATGTTGCTGGAACACCTAAAAGGACAACAGAGCTGGAGTTTTATTGAGCTTTCAATAAAGGTACTGAGGGAAAACAGAATATGCCGCCCTCAGAATGTGCCACTTTGGCATGTGGGTTATTTCAAGCTGCAGACAACAGGGGCCAGACTCAAAGAACTTTTTACCTCCCGCTTAACTTCCTAAAAGAATTTAGATAGGGGCTCTGTACCAGGAAGAGTGCTATTATCAGAGAAAGCTTTTAATATCAGAAAGACTTATCTGCATGGCATGGCAAATATTTGTTTACCAAACATTTGCTCTTTCCAAATTCCTGTGAATTGTCCTACTTTCCTTTGAGGCCCCAGAGCCCTAGAGCTCCTTCTCCTTAGCTCAAGATGAATGCAAGCCTTAATTACCTGACTGCTAGAAGTCTCATATTTTTATGGGGCTCCCATATATACAAAATTTGTTTTCCTCCTGTTAATCTGTCTCAAGTCAATTTAATTACTAGACTAGCCAAAGAGCCTAGAATGGAAGAAGGGAAAAGATTTCCACCCCTACAATAGTATTCAATCTGAAACTTTTCTTTGTAATTGGGTAGGAAAGTATAGAGAAAATATCCATAGCTCTTAGCTACTTCTATGTATTGAATGCTACTGACATATATTTGTGAATGATCAAACTAGCATAGATCAGTTGACAACAGTGTCATATCACTGTCATATAGGTAATCACTAAATATTTATCAATCCAATGAGTTAAAAGAGAGTAAAGGATGCTAAACGGAAATAGAGAGAAAAAATAACTAGCCTAAAATGATCCTTATGCCAAATAGGCATATTTTGAGGTGACAGATTCTACTCCCCATCAGGTCTCATATTCAAATTAACTGCTCTAAGGTCTACTTACCCAGGTTAATAAAAAGCCCAGTATTCTCAAAGGACCAGAACATGAACTATCAGTATATCCCCTTCTAGTTGGGTTTCAGGCTTGATCTCCAGAAGGGAGCATGCAGGAGTCAGCCAATCAATGACTCTCTCATCATTGATATTTCTATCTCTCTCTCCCTCTCCCTCTCTGTCTCGGAAATCAATAAAAACATATTTAAAAAACTAATTTTAGAAATACTGAAGTCCAACCCCAAATATGTATTTTTTAAGAAACTACAGACACAGGGGAAGCTCTGAAAACTGAGTAAAAGTTACCCTTTTGTAAGAGATACTTACATGTATAAGGGAAATCTCCATTTGTAAGGGTGTCTTCCTCTCTGTACCAAGAAGAGAAAGACGACTCTAAATCTTTAGAAACTCTCACCAATGGAGAGGCAAGGACTTAAACCTGCATAACAACCATACCCTTATTTACCGTACCTTTCCTGATAACCTCCCAAACTGGCCTGCCCCTGCCCACCATATCGTATATCTTTAGCTAGAAATGATATTTAAAGTGTTGGCTTGTACCATTTCTGGGAGTTACTCAGTTTTCCTGGTGTCTGTCCCATGTATAGGGGTGGCAGCCATTGCTGACAGAGGCTTCTGATGCACTCTGCATTTAAGGTAAAGACACACACTGAGATTTCAACCTCCTGTACTATGCCCCTGCATGCTTACACCCTCTTAGTCAACCACTGCAAGGAACTTCCTGGTTTCGTCTTTTGACCAATGAACTGAGACCTGCCCCAACCTGCATAAAACAGGCCAAATTGGGAACTTGGATGGAAACTTTCTCTATAAAAGGCAACAACTTTCTCTATAAAAGGTGGCCTCCCCTTTGTCTTGATAGAACATAAATTAGGTTGCTACCTGAGTCTGTGTCTCCCAGGCTACAGCTCTTTTGGTTCAAATAAACGATTTCTTTTATTTATTACAGTCTAAAATCAATTTTGGTTTACATAACTATTGTGCTGTGAATAAATTGAAAAATACAAAAGTATTGAATCTAATTCAATTTTAAAATGTACAAACCTATAAGATACAGGCAAATCTGTAAATCTTGGATAAATTACTGGATTTAGATTATTACATAAGAGAACTTAAGAGTTAAAGAGAACTAATTTAGTTAAATGTGCTAACTCAGCAATTCTCAGCCTTAACTTAGCATTAAGAACTTAAAAAAAAACAAAACAAAAACATAGCCAAGCCTAAATAAATTATATCAGAATCTTGGGGTGGGTAAGAGTGGCATTAGTATTTTTAAAAGCTCCCCAAGTAATTCTGAAATGCAGTCAGTTTTGAACAACTGAACACAAATTTTTGAAAGTGCAAAAATCTGTCATAAGAAAAACAAGTAGAAAGCAAAAAGGATAAAAGCACAAACAGATGAATTTGAAAGGAGAAAAACAACTGCAACAAATAAATCCAAGTTTTTAAAATAAATAAAATAGATAAGATTCTAGCAAAGATAATCAAGAAAGAATATAAATAACGAAACCATACATGACACAGAGATGTAATAAATTATAAGATCTAAATTATCTTATGATGATAAATTATATAAGCTTTTATGATAAATTTAAAGTCACAGTTAAAGAGGTGATATTTCTGTAAGAATTGTGAACTATCAAAATACATGAATAAACTAATAACCAAATAAAAAGTAAAAAAATTACCAAAATATTGCCCCAAAAAGGGCTCTAACCAAGATGATTCACTAATGGATTTTCTCAAACTTT